AAATAAATCTTTAAAAAAAAAATGTGAATCACAAAAACATGCTCATGGCTGTAACTTGCCAACCCCTGCTCTAGATGCCAGGTGGAGGCTGACAAGTAGCAGGGGTCCTTAGGATCCTGGTCTGCATAGCCAAGAGAGGTGTGGACTCACGAAGGGAGTGGGGGACAGTGTCAAGAGATGGGCTTACCGTCGTGGCCAGCGTGCAGTAGACATTGAACAGTGTTGTTGAGTTACAGAAGCAGCTAGACTCTTCAGGACTCAGTCACTGGTTAGTTATGGAGTATGATAGAACCATCAGAAGAGGATTCAGAATCAGGAATTGTGAGAAGTAGGTATCACCTAATGGCTTGGCACTTACTGTAGCCAAGGTTCTGGCAGGTCATCTGTGATGAGTCTGTTAGGATTAGTCATTCAAGTGAAAATTCATTGAGTGTCAGTGTGTGCCAGGCTTTGGAGACAGAATGGAGCATGGTGCAGGTGAGGTTTGCATTCTTGGGGAATAGATCATGTATTGGGTGAGCAGGGATAAGCAAGAGAACAAATGTTAGCACGTGTCAAGCTCTTGCCGTCTGCCAAGTCCTGCTTTAAGTGCCCTATATAATGCATATACCAGCCCTGTGTGACGGACACTGATATTATTACCATCGTACAAATGGAAATACCGAGGCAGTTTACCAGGACTCACACCTAGCGAGAGATAGTCTAGGTCTAGGATCCACTCATTTAACTTCACTGTTGCTTACTAAAAAAAATACTGCTTGTTATTGAACAAAACAGTATTACATAATGATGAGGGAAATTAAACAGAAGCCTTGCATGAAAAAGGACAGGGACTATCACATTTAGATACAATGGCCAGAGAAGGCCTTTCTAAAGAGGAGACATTTGAGCTGAGGCTTGTAGGAAGAGAAAGAAACAGCCTTGTGAAGAGTGAGGGGGAAGGTGGGCCAAGCAGAGGAAACAGCATGTGAGCCTTGGCAACTGTAGGCACAGTAGTAATCATCACTTGTTCTGTCCACCATTCAGAGAACTAGGCATCATCATCCTCCATCCCACAAGAAGAAGCAGGTTCAGTAATGTAAAGTCAGTACCCCACCATTGCATACCATGTGGTAGGATTCTCTCTGCAAGGTGCAGACTGCAGGGAGAGGAGAAATCTGGAGACCTTGCAGGAGGCTGGATGACTCCGGCCTTCCAAGTAAAGCACAAGATAGGGAGACGGGGTGGGTGGTGCTTGAGCAAGGTTGAAAATGTCCAGTACAACATTTAGACAAGTTCCTCTAGATCAGGGTCAGCAGGCATTCTGGAAATGCCATGAAGAGTGGGGACCCACGGGGTGGAAGGCTATGAGGGGCCAGGAGAAGCTCCACCCGCCACCAGTTACGATATGGCTGCTGGATTCGGCAGTGGACCTGGTCAGCACTGAGGAGGGGAGATAAGGTCAGGGAAGTCCTCCCTGCTCTGAGCCTGAGCCTGAGGGCTGCCAGCTCCTTGGTGATCCTGTCCCTTGCTCTCTGTCCCTGGTAGGACATCATCCTCACTGTGAAGGAAAAGCTGTCAATCCGAAGTACGGAGTACTTTGCCCTGGTCCTGGAGGAACAGTACAGCATCTCTCGGCTGCACCTGCTGCACGAAGAGGAACTTATCCAGCAGGTAGGGGCTACCCACCGGTGGGCAGCCTGCTTCTGTAACTGGGGAGGCACCTGCCTGGGCCGGCCACGCTGTCTTCAGCATGAACCTTTGGAGTCAGAACTCTGCAGGCCTGCGGGTTTGCTGTGCTTCCTCATGCCTCCGAAGGCACGGAGCACTCTCTGAGGATAACAGGGCAAGAATCAGGTCTGGTTGTTATGTGCTCCCCTGAGGTAGGCCGGGCCCCACTTCACAGCTGTGGCGACAGAGAGTTACAGTGCTAGGGTAACTAAGCCAGAGTGACACGGGTGAGAGAGCCCCCTCTTTTACTTCCAGCTGATGACCTGCCCCCGAACCTTTGCACAGCTGGGGGAATATCTCCCCTCATTGATGTGTCTGAGTGCTTTTTGCCAGACTTGCCCTGAGCTGTTCCATGATGCCGGACAGGGCAAACCTTGTCAGCCTCTCTGAAGCACTCAGCCTCCCACCATCCAGTGATAGGCGGTAGCAACAACTAAAGCCAAACACAAGTCAGGTCAGCAAATCCTTGCTGAGTGTGTATTATTACAAAGATAAGGAGCATTTCAGGAACTGCAAACGAAGGGAACGTTTAAGTGGGGGAGACAGAGCAAGACAGGACACAGGAACCACCATGCATATTCAGCTCATATTCAGCTGTGGCAGCTGAGCTTTTACACTTATCACTCGCCCATTCTGCCACTGGCAGGCCTTTAAAAAATATAAGTCTTTTTAAGTTTTCTTACCTCATCATTCATCTTTGTACTATATATGATTCTTCTCCTCATAGTTCCCCATAGTTCTCCCACCACCACAGCAGCCGAGAACCATCACCACAGCCCCCGAGAACCATCACCACAGCCCCTTGTGCTCTTCCCTGCCCTGTTTTGACCCCTCTCCCTCCCCCAACCCCCCCCAAACCCCACCCTCACCCCATGTGCCTCAGCTCAGTGGTTTGCCCGCTTACAGACATTTTTAAAAAATCACTTCTGTTCCATTAGCCTTGGAGAAGAAGAGGAAATCAAATCCCTAAGATAGTTAAGGGTGGGGGGGGGAAGTAAGGTGCAGGAGGTAAGTACACTGTGCCATTATTTGTGGAATAGAAAAAAATAGCCACGTATTGAACCATGTGTATATACAAACTGAAGGGCACGGAAGCAACAAGAAGCAGAAATTTTTCTGGAAAGAGAAACTGGTTGATGGGGTTTTCTGGAAAGAGAAACTGGTTGGTGGGAAGCTTTGCCCTTTTGAGCCTTTTCTACCCATGGGAAGGAAAGTGTATTTAGGGCCCTCCCTGGTGGCGCAACTGGCAAGCTGGTTGCAGCCACTTCAGTGCAAGTTGGATCCCACCTGGAGGTGATCCACATGGAGCGGCAGACCTCTCCTGACTCACCCACTGCTCCCCTCAGCATTGTACTTTGCCAGTCTGCCTGTTCTGCTCCCCTCTTTGTCTCTGGTGAAGCCTCTCATTGCCTCTGAACCTCTGGCTCGTTGAACCTCAGCTCTGTATGAATAAATAAATAAATCTTTTTTTTTTTAAAGTGTGTTTAGGAGCAAAGGTTTATGGCTATCTTGGGAAACATGCATATTGGAATCTCTTAAGGCCATCACTCCTTGTTGGTTTGTTGGTTTTTCCGGTTGTTTTGTGGATTAAAGCAAAGGCAGAAATAGTGAGGTTAATGGCATCTTTCTTTCCCATGGCAGGTGGTAGAAAGAGAGGAGTCTCATGACTGCCGCTGCCTCTTCAGGGTGTGTTTTGTTCCCAAGGACCCCCTGGACCTCCTGAAAGAAGACCCTGTGGCCTTTGAATACCTCTATCTGCAGGTGACCCGGTCTGCATTTCCTAAAATAACAGTGAAGTTTCTCCAAGATGGCACACAGGATTATTTTGTGAGCATGAGCTCAAGGCAATTAAGCAGTTTCCTGTTAGGGATTATCTTTAATTTAGGTAAAGGAGAACAGGCCTGATGATCCCTCACAATGCCCTTTTGCATCACTGAGTTGTTATCTTAGGAGATTTGCTATGTAATTGTAAAATGGAGGTTTAGTCCTCCATGTAGATGATGCATTTTCTAATAACATTTAGGATCTCTGGAATTAAAGTTTATATTGCTAAAAGGGGCTTTAGTGCTTCAAAGCCTTAATTTAGAGATAATGAAACAACAGCCTTATACAGGTTGTATTACTTGCCCCAGTCATCCAGTTAATGGTAGAGCCAAAAAGGGGTCTCTTGACCCCCTAACTCTGCTCCCCCTAACATACTTCCTTCAATGGAATTTACTATGCTGTTTTTTATTCTAATGAAAAAGAACCATTTTACAGATGAGATCATTCAAACAAAATGAATTGACTTGCCCAATGACTAATAGAAGTGGTGGCAGCAAACGGCAACATTGCTTTATATTTGTATAATTTATATTTTTGTAATTTTGTGTGCCTTACACTTACTTTGAAATGCAGGGAGAGGGATCTGACCAACTTACTTCTAATTTAAACGTCACTGAATCTGGGTAACGTAGAATTGACTGTCCCCACTTAGTAGTGGGAAGACACCACTACTCAGAGTCTTGGTAACGTAACTGAGGCAAGAATTGGCAGTGGCCGTTCTCAGAGCAGATCTGCTGGTGCTGCTGCCTTTCACCTGAGAGGGCCAGGAGGCACAGTCTATCTGTTCCAGTTTCCCAACGGCTCTGCTGAAATCTCTTCTAGAGCTGTAGCGATGTGCTCCAGGAGCGCTTTGCAGTGGAAATGAAATGTAGCTCTGCTCTCCGACTTGCTGCCCTGCACATCCAGGAGCGGATCTACGCGTGCGCCCAGCCGCAGAAGATCTCCTTGAAATACATAGAGTAAGTGGCAGCAGTCTTCTGTGTCCCATCCACAGCAGCTGTGATGCATTGATAGCTAGCCTGACCCTGGCCAGAACAGGTGATCTTCACCTACCTACCCTCTGTCCTTTGTCTTCCCTTACATCCCTCCCCATCCTCTCCCGTCCAGCCTGGCTCTCAGAGATTCAAGCCTGGCTACACCCTCTGGGGCAGAAGCAACTCCAAATGGAAAGATACAGGATCCTTTTGTAAATTCCCAGGATGCCTTGGGAAATCAGTTGACAACCTCATTGTGAAGTTCATTCTTGCCTAAGGACAAGAATGCTTGGAAATTATATGCCTGAAGGGTGTGAAACTGTTCTCCTACGAAGGCAGTATCAAGTCGTTGGATTCCCAAACCTCTTGATTCTTTGCTTAAAATGCCACTTTACACAGTATCACCCAGGTTTGTCAACTCCATCACCAAATCTAAGAGGGGGTAATCAGATTTGAAAAACAAAACAGATCCTTGAGCCTTTCCCAGACATGCTAGGTCTAACCCAGGGAGTGGGATCTGAGAATCTGTGATTTGGTAAGTTGGTGGGGGATTTTGGGCCTGCCAGGCTGGCACCATTTGAAGCTTGGCCTAGGGGACTTGAGGACGCCAGGAGTTCCCACAAGAGGGTGTTATACAGGTGGAATGGTGAACAGTGAGCTCCCAGAGTGATGGGTGGGGCCTAATTCCTGAAGGTGGCTGGGTTTTGTCCAGTGTGTATTTGTATAAATAGACAAATAAACAAACATGCATAATCTCTTCTGTTGAGAGAGAGGCTCATAATTGCAATATTTCAAGAACACTGAGAACTGAATCATATGTGACTAGGCCCTTCCCCTGAGCCAGTCACTGTTAAAACGGGCCTCCTTGTCTCTACCATCTCAATGGCAGGAAAGACTGGGGAATAGAGAACTTTATATCTCCAACCTTACTCCGGAACATGAAAGGCAAAGACATCAAGAAAGCTATTAGCTTCCACATGAAGAGGAACCAGAATTTGCTGGAACCCCGACAGAAGGTAATATAGCTATGGCCTCTGCTGACCCCTCCCCCCCAACCCCACCCTGTGATCTGTTGTGAAACTCCAGGGAAAATATTTCAGTATTGCCTAGATTTTAGGCAAGTGAATAACTCCAACTCTGATTTCAACAGCCTTTTTTTTTTTTTTTCCTATTTAAGCAACTTATTTCTGCTGCCCAGCTACGTTTAAATTATCTTCAGATCCTTGGGGAACTCAAGACATATGGTGGGAAAATCTTTAATGCTACTTTAATGGTACGTATTAGAGAACTGGACCTCAGAAGATCACTGTATCTTTTAGCCAGAAGTTCTCACAATCCTGTCATGTACTGGATCTGTTGCAGAACTTAAGAATTACAGCTCCGTAAGTGTTGCTTGATGCTACTCTGTGGTAGATGCTGGGCCAGGCAGAGCAGAAGATGTGATTTCTACCCTGGAAATGTATGACCAAGTACTTATCAAGACAAAGCAAAGTATGAGAGAGGGCAAGGGCTGATGTGTAGATTTTGAAGACAGTTTCCTCTGCTAGCTTTGGGTTGAATACAGGAAGGAGAAGGGATTATGGAAAAGCAAGAAATTTTGGCTTCTAATGAAGGTACTGTACATTCTGGAGCTTTGCTTGTATGATAAAGAGGAAAAACTAGAAATTGTGAAGGAATGGTAAGACTCGAAGAGTGCCTTCCAGGTCCCTGCCAGAAAAAGGGAAGACCCGAGGGAAGACCAGAGATGTACAAGAGAAGAGGAGAAGCCCTCTACTCTGTTCCGCATTCGCCCTTCACTTTCATTTGAGAAGCACCAGCCGCATTCTGAGCAGCTGTCAGTGACTCAGGGTGTGGCTTCAGGGGTTCTCTCCTACCACTCAGAGAGCCCAGAGCTCTCCAGCACCAAGCCAGGAACTTTACCAATTAGCGAGTTTTTTATATATGTTAACAAAGCTCCTTGCAGAGAATTTGTTAATGTGTCTCAGTTATTTTCCATGAAGAATTCAGTTTAACTCAGTTGCTGTCCTGCAGTGTAGATGGTAGAAGAGAATCAGTGTTTTGAAAGAAAAGAAGCGTGGCACATAATTAGCGGAAGGGGAAAAACAGATGGAATCCTGGACAAGTAAGATGACCAAGTGGTCGAAGAAAGGGAGACTTGAAAGTACAAGAAAGAGGTCCCAGTTTTCCCAGGGGTTAATCCTGCCTCTCCCAGCTGTCAGTGTTTTCTGTCTGCAGACCCCTTTACCTTTCCAGTCTAGGGGAAGAACTGATCATAAGAAAAGAAGCCAATTGTGTTAAACCTTTGCTGGACCTTCGTAGATAAATACAGATTCTGTTTTTGAGGAACATGATATGGAATGTGACTCATTGCAAATGATTATAGTAAGTAGTCCTAGCTCATTGCCATCAGAGGAGTACAGAGAAAAGGGGTATAGAAAAAATACAGAGGAAAAGGACTGCTCTCATTTAAGAAGACAGATCAGGCAGTTGTTTTCTGTAGGCAGTTGTCATTGGTGGAAACTTTTACTTACTTAATTTGTCAGTTGTTTACATATCTGCATAATTTTGGGGCTACTCACCTCACTCATCCTCTTCCAGACTTATCTGGCCAAACCCTTCCTTCTCATACCCACTCCTCCCTCCCCTTTCCCTACAGTAACTCAGATATTTTTCCTAGAGTCTAAAAACTGCTTTTCTGTGCTCTGTCAGTATATATTTCTGGTTACTTATATTCCACAGATCAATGAAACCTTCTTTCACCTTCTGACTTATCTCACTTAGCATAATCATCTCATGGTCCATCCACTTTGTCCTGAAAGGCACCATCTCACCTTTTTTAAAAAGCTCCATAGTATTCCATTCAGTCTATAATCTAGAATTTCTTTATCCATTCATCTTGTGTAGGGCACTTAAGTTGGTTCCATGGCTTGGCAGTTGTGGATAGTGCTACTGTGAACATCAGAACACATAAGTCTTTTAGTGTTTGATGGAAACTTTTAAAGAAGGGTCAGAATTTCCATTAGATTTTGCTGGCAGGGAGGGAGTTCTCAGAGGAGGACATGGCATGTCTGAAATACACACAGGCGTGAAAGTGCAGGCTGCGTTTGTGGAACAGGTAGCAGTCCTGTGGTTTGGCTATATATTGTGAAGCGTTTTGTGGGAGATAAAATTAATACTTAATCTAGCTGTATTTGGGGAATCTGAGAAAGTGGTGGTGAGGACCTGAAGTAGGAATCGAATAATTAATATGTGCAATATATTTTCACTAGCTTGTGAATGGAAACTAATTCCCCTTTTACCCTTCTCTAGTTACAGGATAGAGAGTCCTACATTGCCCTTCTAGTGGGAGCCAAGTATGGGATTAGCCAAATTATCAATAGCAAACTCAACATCATGTCCACGATGGCAGAGTTTGCTAACATCAGTCGGGTAGAGCTGACAGAAGAGTCTGAGAAAGTGAGCATGGTCAAAGTGTATCTTCAAGACATCAAGGTAACACATGGAAGAGAGAGTTTGGATCCAGCTTTTGGAGTTTGGGGCTAAATGATTCTAGGGTACTTTATATGAGTCTGGGTGTTAATAAAATCTAATTTCCAGCATTTTCTTAAAAGCACGATTTATCTATCCTGTCCCATCAAAGAGAAAGCAGTGAACAAGGTATTTTTCTGGTCCTACTAGTTTTTTTTCTTATAAACTGAGCTGGACGCTGTACATGCCTGGGAGCACCAGAGGATTTTATCAAGTGCAGGAGACCCAAATGGCTGCCCACGAGGTTTGAGTGGGAGCCCATGGAGAGGGTAAACGATGCAGCATATTTCCTGAGCCTCTCTGGAAAGTTCTGCATTTATCCTGCCTTCCTTTAATCCCCACATGCTGAAGGGTGCTTTATTTTTCTTATCACCCTCTCCCTCCTTCTTCATTAGTTCTTGTTCCTTTTCCTTTTCTAGGTCAGGTCTAAAAACGGCCTCACTACATAAATGAACAGGACAGAGTAGAGTGACTGGGATGAGGGACTGGGTGAAGGGATCAAGAGGCGGGATACTTTGTAGATTGTGTGGGAAGAACCCGCTGTGCCTGTGTGTGCACATGTGTGTGTGTGTGTGCCCATGTCAAGTCTTAGATATAAGGGGTCTGCCTGTGCACCATGGCTGTGTTTATTTGGAATATCTCATTAGCCACACAGTTTCTCTGGCCTTTATAAACATAAGCATGAGCATTCTTTTTACCTTCAAAGGTTCTCACTTTGCTGCTGGAATCCAATAGTGCAAAAGACCTAGCCTGCCTGATTGCTGGGTACTACAGGCTCTTTGTGGACCCGGTCACCTCCATTTTCCTCTGGCCGGGAAACAAACAAGTTCACCGCATATCTGCTGAAGAAGGTGAGATGCTGGGACTTGCCCCACTAAGAAAGGGCCCATTTCTTGGGCTTTTTAGGTAAGGGCAGACTAAAGGGAGGTGGTGAACTGGGTTGAGCTGAGATTTCCAGCAAATGGACAAGAACTGGTTTTCCACTGATTTCCTGGTAAACAGCTGATCTTCCCAAAATCTTAAATGGAGAAGCTATCCTTGTTACTGAGAGTCTGCTGAAGCCAAGAAATGCTGTTGTAGGTCTCTGATTCCTTGCAGTGTTTCCTAAAATCCCTACTTGTTGAGGGCAATATAGCCATCTAGCTTCTTGTTCCATGCCTCAGTTGTCTTTTGCATTCTTTTGAATTATAATAGAAATGCTCAGCCTTACATGTTTACAAGTAGAGCATACCTGGAGATAGAGAGGGCCCAACATCACATCATAAAATTAGTAAAATAATGGAGGCTGGGGGATATGGAGTTCCCAAGCCAGCTCCCAGGTCCTATTTAGCGCTGGCTTCCTAACCATCAATAAAGCATTCGCCTAGCTGTCTCTAAAGGGGAAACACCAGAACATCTACACTCTGATTTGGATCAGTTGCCTATTTTCATGATATAAGCACTCGCACTGTAGGTCACTTCAAGCTTCCCAGGCGATGTCACTGAACGTGGAGTTGGGAAGAGATGCTCAGTCTTGCCAGCCCATGCACTTAGGCATCCATCCTCTCAAGAGATTAGATGACGGTGGGTAGAGTAAATAATTAGGTGACTTATTGCTTTCAACTCGTGGATACGGGATGAGCCTGGTCGGGGAGCAGCGCAGAGTGAAGGCATTGCTGAGGTGGAGGTTCGAGGACAGGAGGACCTGCTGCAGGAGCAGGTAGCAGTGGTCAGAGTAGTGGCTGGAGTTAATCAGGCTAAGAAGGGAGGAGAGATTGTCTGGAGCAGAGTAGACAGCACAGAGATAGGACACAGGTTGAATCTGGGAGAAACTCAGTAGTGGCTAGAACATGGACAGGCCGCAGTGGGTTATAGGCCCAGGGCTGTCCTGTGAGAGGCCTTAGCCCTTGGCTGAGGGTCTTCCCTGTGGGCTGGGCAGGGGTTTGAGTGGTATGATATGATCGGAAGGACTTTTGAAAGACCTCTCTGAAGACTTCTGTGGCAGAGAGACTGGAAACCTGGCTCAGAGCCTCAACCCACTGACCGTGAATCCTGGCCAGAAACTCCTGGCAGCTGGCTGAGTGTTCACTGTCCTGAAAGCTCTGTTGCACCTGTGAGTCCCCAATGCCACGCTCCAGAAGGCGCCAGTCTAGCAGCCTCACATCCCCCCCAGAATGTTGCTAAAAATACATATTCTAGGTCCAACTCCCTAGATACTTGACTCAGTATATCAGGGCCTATCGTTTAGTTTATTTTTAAAATATGATTGCCTACCTGGTTTTCATGCCAAGAAAAAGACAGCTGAAGTTTGAAGAGGAGCTTAACAAAGGCGATACTGCCCTTAGCAAAGGAAATCCAATTAAATACCTTCCAGTTTCTGTGAACAGGGAGCTCTCCTTAAGGAAGAGATCTAGGTAGGTATGGGATAGGAGATCACATGTGGGAGAACATGGAATTTCGAGTCCCACAGATCCTGTGCCCATCAGGATAGCATGAACAGCCACTGGTCACTTTTCTAGACCTTGGTTTTTCTCATGTGAAAAATGGCGGTGGGGAGAGGCAGACACGGTGTGGGGGCATACAGGCCTCTGCCCCACCCCGAGTGCCGTTTTGTAACCTGTGGCGTCCCCTGTGTCGCAGGCTATGAATCCAGGGCGTGCAGTGACTCAGAGGAGTCCTCCGAAGTGGACTGCGTGCTGGAGCCCCTCTCGGAGAGACGCCTGCTGAAGCCAGGCCTCAGCAGACCACTCATGAAAGAGGAGCAGCCTCCCGGGGACAGCCTCCGGCCTGAGGTGACCAGGAGAGGCCCGAGCACCTGCGGGGCCAGCAGCACGACGGACAGTGCTGAGTCCGAGGCCTCTGACTCCGCAAACACCGAGAGCCGAGGCTGCAGGACCAGTGGCTCGAGCGAGTCCATGGATGCCCTGGAAGAAGACGACCTGGACGCCTGCTCCTCCAGCAGGTCCGGTTTCTTCCACTTTAGCTCGCCAGGCTTTCCGGAGAGTCTCGATGCCAATGGCCAAGAGGAGCGAGGCAGTATGGGAACTAGTGGCTTCCTCTATCTCCTGGACCTGGCCCCCAGGGACAGCGCTCAGTGCCAGAAGGAGTTTTCTGAGAGCTCCGCTCCCGAACCATTCAGCTGGGGGCAAGAACTAAGTGTGGTCAGGCTGGACCCCCGGCTGTATGAGGGCAGCCGGACTGACTACTATAACCTGTGCTCTAGTGTCTCCCCGGCCAGCCACCTGAGCGATAGCTCGGGGAGCACAGCTTCCCAGCAGGGGGACGCCCCACCAGCCTGGGCCCAGCAGGGCTGGACTGAGCCCCAACCCAGGTCCACGCTGGAAGCCCTGGGCCCACACCTGCCCCTGGCCTTTGAGGATGGCAGCTCAGATGAGGAATACTACGATGCTGCCGATAAGCTCACACCTCCAGATGCCCTCTCAGGTGAGATCCCACCCCCAGAAGGTGTCAGACGCAGTAGCAGCTCCGGAATACCCACCAGGGTCAGAGACCACCCTCGAGGGGAAAACATATAAAGCAGAGTCCTTGTTCTTTTTGAGGTCACCCTGGGCTTAGTGGACCAGTTCACAAGCATCATGATTTCAAGTGCAGGCTGCAAGGGAGGTAGAGAGAACTGTGGGAACACAGAAGTAGGAGGCATACACTCACCATGGGGACCAAGGAAGGCTTCCTGGAAGAGTGGGGAGTGACTGGGCCTTGTGAGGTGAAGTTTATCTGACAGACCAGATCCCAGGTTCAGGAACCCCAGTTCTGGTCCCTTCCATAACAATGCACGGGCTCCCTGTGAAAAAGGGAGTGTCCAGTGTGGACCTCTCACATCCTGACCCGCATGCCAATAAAGGAAGGCCTTGAGGGAGGCACATATATCGTGAGGGCCCTGGAGCCACATTAAATGAGATTTTGAAGCCAGAAGAACCCAGCAGGCTGTTGGTGGCTCATGAAGGAACTCATTTTTAAGTTCCTCATCGCTGCCTTCACAAGAGTGTGCAACGTCTTTCCACACAGGACGACTGCCCAAGCTGACCTGAGATCCTCACAGCACATTCACACACACACACTCACACTGCATGCCAGAGGGTGAAAAAAGGTCGCACAGAGACACTGAGGTTGCCCTCCTAGGGGCTGGCGGCTGTAGCCCTGCTATCTGTTTCAGCCCTTCCCTGGCTCCCTCCCTGCCAGCAAGTGCCATTTGCTCCTGGAAGAAAGCCAGCGCCTTAGCCCGCTGAGGAGCCTATGCCACGGCCTCTGCCCATCTCACTTCTTCTGAGCCTTCTTTCTGTGCTCCTGCACTCAGACCTTGCCGTTCCCGAAAGGGCTGAGCTCTTTCCCACCTCTGGCCTCTACCCACATTGCTCTTTACACACGAAACATGCCCCATCTTGATTCTTGGCTGGTGGTACTCACCCTTCCCTGTTCCTCAGGGAACACAAGACCAGGGCAGGGCTCCCCACCCCTGTCACACCTCTTACAGCACCCTCGTGTTTCCTCCTCGGGACTTAGCACTGCCTGGAACTGTGCATCTATCTATGTGGTCTGGCATTAATGTTTCCCTTCCTCCCCGGACTGAGAACTCTTTGAAAACAGAGGAACTCGTTTGTCCCTCATCACTGTGGCCCCGGCCATTGTGCCCGGGTGTGGTGGTTAAGTGAATGACTTAAGTTTGTTGACTGTATCCCTGGGGAAAAGAAACCTCTGTCAAATGTGCAATGCGTCCACACCCCGGCCTTGCCCTAGCGGTCAGCCACTGTTCTACCAGCAAGAATGGGAGCACGGCAGACAAGCAGTCAAGGCCTTTCTTTCTTTCTTTCTTTCTTTTTTTTTAAGGTTTATTTATTTTTTCATACAGAACTGGGGTACAGACTAGAGATGCGGAGGGTGAGAGGATTCACCAGAGACAGACTGGGGAGCAGAACAGGCTGACTGACGAAGTACACTGCTGAGGGGAGCAGCGGGCAGTCAGGAGAGGTCTGCCACACCATGTAGATCTCCTCCGGGGCAGGCGGGGATCGAACTTATGCTGAAGTGGCTTAAGCTTCTCAGTGCTGTGCTTTAACCCGCTGCGCCACCAGGGAGGGCCCCAAGGCCTTCTTTATGGGTGTGGAGTCAGGATGTGAGGTCCATAGCAGACACTCCCTTTTTCACAGGGAGTCTGTGTGTTGGTATGGAGGGGACCAGAACTGGAATCTGGTCTGTCACCTGACTGGCTGTGGGAGCCTTTCTCCTGTTAGGCTTCAGAAGCACTCTGGTCAGTAGCCAGCCAGAGCAGCAGCTACCACATGTGACTGGACTTGGTTTGAATACGGCAGTTTCCGGTTCCCAGCCTCAGAGAGGCTGATCTAAAGGTCCGAGTAACCGAGAATTTGATAAGGTTTCAAGGTGCAAGCAGCTCGAAGGCAGCTGGCCTGAGGAGAGAGCCGCTGACTCCCAAGTGCGAGGCTCCGAGCCTAATGGCGCTGGCTGACTCCCAGGACCTCATGGCAGAGGTGATTCTCCACTTCTTCAGGTCCATCCTGGTCGGCACAAGCCCCTCACACCTGAGACCCAGAGTCGGGGCCGCTTTTTGCCAAAAACAGGCCACGTTGTGATGGGGACGACTGCTCTGCTCCCTTTCGCGAGCACAAGCTAGGAGCAGGCCTTGCGCTGCCTGATTCATTGGCACTAACTCGTCTCTACTGCGTGGCAGTGCTGATTGGGTCAAGGTCAGCGCAAAGAGAAGGTTGTAAGAAAGCTCCTAGAATTGGCAGCAAAGGGGAAGAACCAGTTCAGACCTAGGCAGCAACCAGGGCAAGAATCTGGGAGACTGAATTCCCCATCACATTGTCAGGACTCCATGGCTGCAAAGACTGGGCTGTAGATTTATTACAGTTTTTTAATCAAAAAAATTTTATTTCAAATTTTGAGTTTGAAATTCTAGGAAACTGATGGCTGGCTGGCTGTGTCACACATTTGACCACTTGGATGACGTGGGCAGGACACCTACATTCACAGTTACAGCAGATCATACCTACTGGGGAGATGTCATTTCCTGAGAGAAAGTTGGGGTGCTGTGGCCCAAAGACCATGAAATGGATACTGGACAACTAAGAATGAAAAAATGTTTGCCACAGTTATTTTTTTCCTCTTTTCAATGTCTCCCCCTAACCCCCTCGCCCTCACCAGGATTTTATAACTTCTTAGCCATAATTCCAGATAAACCCATCAAAATGTTCCTGTGCAGTGAAAATATGTATACAATTAAGAATAATCTTATCTTTTTTAAATTACTTATAATTAACATTTATCAAGCCTCATTATATGCCAGGGTCTGTTAGTTAAATATTTTTTGAGAGCCTACTCTCATCAAGCTATTCACTTCTTTTCCCTCCAAATTATGTTTATTAGGGCACAAATTATGTTTATTAGGTTCACATCTTTGGGTCTGCTCCAGGGTCTGGCTGCAGGGGCAGTGGTGGTGGGCAGGGTGGAAAAGCCCACCACTTACCTCCCCGTCTTTCGAGGGAGAAAGGCAGACAAGCATGGTTTAACTTGCTCCAGGCTGTGTAACCCAGCCAGGATGTGGACCCAGGGAACCCAGAGCCTGTGCCCAGGTGCTGTAAGCCTCTTGGTTTCTCTACTCTTATGTACTTTTTCCTTTCTTGACTCCCAGGTCCCAGAGCTGTTTTTTCTGTAGGACTCAATGCCACGGGCTTGCAGAAGAAAGCAGGTGATTGCGGCCCCAACGACAGCCTGAATCCTGGGCCAGATGGAAGAGAGCCGAGCAGACGAGGAATGGTGAAAAAGTATGCCAAGACCCTGAGGAAAAGAAGGTCTTTCCTACAGACTGATTACACCTGCCAGGTGTCATTTCCCATGGTGCCATCAAGCTCCCTGGAACGTGTGGGTGATGTGTGCTACTATGACAGGCAGCCCTATCTAACCCTTAGTGCCCCCTCCCCAACTGTGTCCTCTTTACAGGACATGCAAGGTGAGCCTGGCCTCCTGGAGACTAAGGTCTTGGGGCTGTTGGCTCCCCTGAGGGAGGCCAAGACCAAAACTCCAGCTTCCCGGGTCATGGAGATGGAGCCCGAGACGATGGAGACCAAGTCGGTCATTGACTCTCGAGTGTCTTCTATTTCTGCCATTCGCCTCCGAGTTGACCCCACCCGTAAAGAGAAAGCTGGGGTCACTCCTCACACTGCCACTATCACCGCTTCCCAGGCTAGTAACTCTCGCTGTCCCGATCCGGATCCCTCTGACCCAGATACTGGTCAGGCAGGACTTTCCCAAACCTTGTCTCCACCTCAGGATTTGGATGGCAACGCCCCCCGTGAACTCATCAGAGAGCCCTGGCACAGCGCCTCCTCTCCCTCCAGTGCTGACCTGAACTCAGACACAGTCTGCCTGGCCATCAGCCCAGGGCCACAAACTGTCTCTCAAGGAGATACACCAGGACTAGGAGGAGTCCCGCTGGAAACAGGATTAGGACTTGCAAACCATATGCAAGAAGCTTCCCCCACGCACACAGAACCTTTGCTGTCTCCTCAAGGCAGTCCTAGAAGTGGAGAATGTGAAGTAAATTCAGCAGAGAAGATGGAATCTTTCCCTACAGAGGAGGAGCAACAAGGACAGCTCTCTTTGGAAAGTGAAGGAGAATTTGCAAACAAAAATGGCACCAGCCTATTTCATGACAAAGCTGGGAAGGAATCAGGTGTCCCTGACGGCGACACATTGAATGCTGTTGCTCAGACTATTGATGTGACCGCCCGAGCTGGTCGAGTAATAATCTCCCTGTCCTTGGAGTCTCCCGTTACAGGGACTGAACACACTCAACCACATTCCCCGGGAGAGCTCCACAGGTACAGCGGACAAATCCCAGGCCAAACGTGCCAGACCCGAGAACAGAAGCCATTGGCAGAGTTAGATTTAGGCCCTGGCTTCTTGCATGGGGACCAGACTGTTCTGTCAGCCTCCCTTCTGGATGGGCTCAAGGCAGAGCCACTTAACCGAGCCATGGGGGAAGACACGATCCCTGGGGACAGTCCTGAGCAGGTCTGTTCTGATTCAGAGCCTCCTCTGCCAAAGCCGTTAGCATGCCCCCAACAGGAGTCCCACTTAGAAGACCCAGACCACTGTTCTCTCTCAGAAAGCAAAGATAAAAGCCATAGCATCTGTCTTCCTGCTGAGAAGTCTTTCCTGTGCTTTGCCCCAGAAAGCCATCCTGACGTTTCAGTGGGGCTCAGGATGGCTGCGTCTTTGGGTTTTGCTGGTGTGAATGAGACGGTGGCCCCCAGGATTGGGTTGGAGCAGTGCAGCTGCCAGTTCTCCTATGCCACCTGCTTCCGAGGCCTGCAGCTAGAGACAGAGGAAGAAGATGGGGACTCACAAGCACACCCCACAGCCCCCCTCACCTCGCCACCCTCTGCAGGAAGTCAGCTGGCCCTCCCATGGAGGTCAGCCAGGGCCCACAGCTGCAGCACTGAGCCCCTGTTGAGAAACAGCCACATCTGGCCAGAGTACTGCTCCAGGACTCTGAGACAGCTGAAAACTGCCCCTGCCAGCACCCCTGAGGGCTTCATCCAGCTCAACGACAGCCTGCTGGAACTACAAGACATCTTAGAAGCTTCCTGGGGGAACGGCAACAAACATCACCCAGAGAAGTGCACCTGGCATTTTTCTGAAAGCCGGAGCCAGCTCTGCCTGGGCTCCCAGAAGCTCCTGTCGAGCTGTCAGCACGTGATCAGAATGGACCAGTCCCCTGAAGAGATGCAGCGTGCTGTGCGTGACACCTTCCTGCACCTGGTCCAGCTGGCCGGCCTGTGCTTCCAGTTCACGGACTGCAGCCGCTGCTCTGCCCGGCACAGGGAAACGGCAGGGAACCTGAGGGACGTGGTGTGCACCTACCACCAGTTTGTGGAGGCTGCTAAGCTGACCTGTGAGAGAGGCTACCATGACCTGAGTGTGAAGCTCCTGGCCCGTCAGTGCACGGCCCTCACGGCTGCCGTGTTCTGTTTGACCCAGAAGTTCCGGGCATCTACTGTACTGTGAACAGGTTGGCTGCCTCGATCCCCTGCCCTGTCCTGGACACTTCTCTGAGAAGCCCCATCCACTCCCCCACTCACCTTCTCAAATGTTTACTATTTAAAGTATTCAAATAAACTGCTGCTTAACCTTGGGCTCGGTCATAGAGTGCTAAGTTTGGGTCAAAAATATTCATTAATGTGCATTCAGTGTTCACTGGATACTTTGTGCCAGGCCTGGTTCTAGGAGGTTAGGATATGAGATGAGTAGGTCCCTAACCTGGTGGGGGTGCTCATAGACCCTCAGTTCGCCCGACTGGCATCTGTGCCTTCGGGACATAGAGATAAATAGACGGCCACCAGTAAAGTGTGTACCCTTTAGGGGTGTGGAAGCAAAGCCATAAACTGTCCCACGAAACACGGATGAGGAAGGAAGGTAGGGGTCCCTGAAGGGACAATCTGGACTTCAGATGTCACGCTGGTTTGGAAATAACCTTCAAAAGTAGGAAAAAAGTACATGTACTAATTGATAGATTCTACCTTTAACCAGTTTGGTGTGTAGCACCTGCTCCAGGCCTGGAATTCTTGATTGCCTCGTTGTCACAGCATAGGCTGCCGCTAGGTGGCAGTAAGTCCCTTTCTTACACGACCACCCATTTCCCCAGGTAGGCTGTGCTTGGAAATTGATGGTATCCCTAAATCCTGCTCCCCATGTCTACCTTAAATGTCTAAAAAAGACAAAGTGCCAAGTCATATTATCCTTTTGAAAGTAATATGAGAGCAAAATAATTCTATTCATTGTCTCACTAGTGAGACAATTAATTGGCTCACGAGGTGAGCCAATTAATCCCAGTTAATCTTGGTGGGATTGTGGACAAACTCTCACTCAACACTTTGATTTTTCTCTTTTGTAATTTGGGGTACAAATTAGAAGGAGAAAGATCTAATAAATGCTCAGTAAGCGTTAGTCATAACCTCCAACCTTTCTGGACACCTCTTCTAATCTGACACCTGCATTTTGTATTCGTATGCCAAAAAAAAACTGATTGCAAGATACACTGAAAATACCTTCTCCCTTCCTTGGCTCCACTGTCCAAATCAAAGGTGGTTTAGACACAAACCTGGGACTGTTTTGATTCATTCCAGGTTGTGTGCTCTGATCGGTTGTGAACTCTGTTAGCCCTAGGCTTTGGTGCCTCTCAGGCTCCCGTTTCCTCTCCATCCAGTAAGAGAAGGAGCATGGGAAGACACTCTCAGCTCTGTCCAGGCAGAAGGAAAGCAATGCTTTGGAAGAAGACAAAATATTCTTTCTTTTCCTTAGAGCTCTGCTTCTTTTTTATAGACTATCTTGAGTAAACTGTCTTGGACACAGACTGAAGGGATTTCATGCAATGAAAGAAAAAACAATAGGACACAAAATAAAAATTGTGATTTTTTATGATTTATTTATTTATTTATGCATACAAGAGCTGGGGTGTAAACCAGAAATACAGAAGGTGAGAGAATTCACCAGAAACAGAGAGGGGAGCAGAACAGACATATCTACTTATCTACACTGCTGAGGGGAGCAGTGAGCAAGATAAGAGAGGTCTGCTGTGCCATGTGGGTCCATTCCCTAGGTGGGGATTGAACTTATGCTGCAGTGGCTGCTGATAGCTCTGTAGTGGTGAGACTTAACCCCCTGCACTACCAGGGAGGTCCCAGAAGTTATGCAATCTTAAACAGGACTTAAATGCCTTTTCAGTGGAGAGTTGTAAAGACTTCATTACTTATTGATGGGACTTCATTGCTTATTGATGGGAACAAAACCTATGATTTTACAAGTTTAGGGTAGTAGCTCGGAACTTCAACTCAATCAGGGCTTGAATCCTGGCAGTGGTCTGTGTTGTTAGACACTTCTTTGGGCCTCAGTCTCCCCAAACTGCAAAAGGAAATAACTCATCTTATTTAGTGAGGACCTAAAATGTGCCAGATGCCTTACTTAGAGCATTTGTATACATTTTTCTTATCAATTTGACAACATCCAAACCAGAGATTGCTATAGATATTTGGTATTATTTTGAAAAATAATCATGAGGACAGAAAGAAGTTGCCAACACAAGTTGTCAAATGTTTGTTTTCTTATTTCCTTGTTTCCTTTCCCCTCAGCCTTACCTGGGCTGCTACCATTGACATACAGAGGTGATACTATGCTCTGTAGTTCCCATAAGGAGTATTGAGTCTCAGGTCTGGGAACCCCCCCCTCAATGCTTGTTAAAAATCCAGGAAGGAGGGCCCTCCCTGGTGGTACAGCGGGTTAGGGCTTAGCACTGCAAGCGAGATGCAGCCACTGGAGGTGACCACATGGCGCGGCAGACCTCTCCTGACCCACCTATGCTGCTCCCCTCAGCAGTGTACTTCATCAGTCTGCCTGTTGTGCTTCCCACTCTGTCTCTGGTGAATCCTCCCCCTGCCCCTGCACCTCTGGCTTGTACCCCAGTTCTGTATAAATAAATAAATCTCTTTTTAAAAAAAAAAATCCAGGAAGTGCTGTTAAGCACTTCCTTTGAGATGTAGTCTCCTACATGAGCTACCATCTATCATGCAATTGTTTAATAACTAAAAAACTGACATATGCACTCCTTCCTTTTGTCATCCACCACCATATGACTGATTTCTTTCCACAGACATTTAGGATACACCCAGGTCAGGCAATGCCTGATGCAGGGTTCTGGATATAAATTGGGTGAAAATCTGGTCTTCAGGAGCTCTGACCTTGAGATGGAGGTCTTGTCTTAGAGATAAGTTAATGTATAGACAAAGAGATCTTTAATAAAAGATATAGTAGGGCCCTCCTTGGTGGTGCAGCGGGTTAAAGCACTACACTGAGAAGCTTAAGCCACTTCCTCATGAGTTCGATCCCCGCCTGCCCCGGAGGTGACCACATGGTGCAGCAGACCTCTCCTGACCCGCCCGCTGCTCCCCTCAGCAGTGTACTTCGTAGATCTGCCTGTTCTGTACCCTACTCTGTGTCTGGTGAAGCCTCTCACCCTCCACATCTCTGGCCTGTACCCCAGTTCTGTATGAATAAATAAATCTAAAAAAAAAAAGATATAGTAGGTGAGGGGCAACAAAGCAAACAGGTTAGGTGCTATGAGAGCTCAAAGGAGAGAAGTCATTTTTGGGTAGGGAGTGGAGCAGTGATCAGCAAAGCCTTCCTTGAAGAGGAAGGAAGTATGTCAAGAATTATAATCTACTGTGCTAGCCCTGGATCTGATAGCTAGGATGGGAGGATCTGACCTTGTCAAGAAAGGAAAAAAGTTACATATTTATTTTGTCTACAAATAGTTTCTGTGTCATAATATTAGGAATACAATCATGAACATGGCAGATATAGTCCTCAACAAACTTAATAATTGGAAAGGCATAGGGGGATAAAATCACTGTCTGGTAGGTGAAATAGAGAAAATGAAGAGGGTGCCAAGATAGGGACTGAATGAGCCACTCTTACCTAGAGTGACAGTAAAGGCCTCTCCAAAGAGGGATCATTTAACTGGAAAGAATATGAAGAATTATCCATGGAAGAAGTGAGAGGAAAGGAAACCATGGCAGCAAAGGCCTTTGATGTCTTCAAACATTTCAAGGAGACAGATGCAGCTGGAACATAGCAAGCCAGGAATGGTGCTAGGAGATGAGGCTGGGGACAGCCAGGAAGCAGGCCATGCAAGGCCTTGGGGAAGTTAGGTTTTACATCCACGAACAGTGGCAAGGGTGCATGGATTAGGGGAGATACATAATCAGAGGGGAAGCTAGGGAGACCACCTAGGAGAACTTCTCTATAAAGTGGCTATGAAGTCCTTCAAAAGTTAAGGGATACAGAAACAGTGGGAGGGAGAAGAGGGAAAAGTATTCAGGTGGCTTCAAGGTGCAGGGTAGGTGTGATGGGAGCGACTGTAAACATTTGTGCCTGCTGAATGAGGAGTCAAGGTTAACCTCTCTAGAGACTTTAGAGATGGGCTTTAGAAGAAGTCTCCTCAGGGAGAAAAAGGACGTTTCATTTTAGCAATAAAATTTGCTACGAAAGCGGAAGAAAGAAGGGTTGGGGATGGCGTGGGAGGAGTTATGGAAAGAAAAGTCTGTAGTGGGAAAAAGTGAGGGGCAGCGAAGACTCTAATAGGACCCTGGTTTCTTGGGCAGATATTTCTGTTCATTCACAGAAATATCAGTAGTATCTCTGAAAACATGAGAGCCCTAGGATTGCAGGAGTAATGGGGAGAGCGGCTAACGGTTTTCACATAGCAAAGTTATGGGCACAGGACTTCAGGACTCTGAGCCTCAGTTTCCCTGTGGACACATAAGGTAAGAAGTAGGGACAGTTGCCAGAGACTAACTCACTCATACCTGCCCAACCCCTCATATTTCGGCTGTGAGCCTGGACAGCCAGGTAGCAGTGATGGGGACCTCATTCTTGGAAAGGGCTGTGAAAGCAAGCTCGATGGCCCTGCTGGTTGTGGGCAACTCCAGGAGAGGGTAAGGCTCTCGGGAAGCAGCTTCAAGCCTGGCTCCAGCCCACTCCCAGTCCAGCACTCGACAACAATTAGACTCCTGTCACTTGCAGAGGAGATCGGTAAGTGGCTGATATTGTAATCTCCATTTTACATACTGGATGACCGAGGCTCAAAGAAGAACAGCAACACTCCAGACAAAAGGCAACTCCCTAGGGCAGCTGGAGGAAGAAAGCTGAAACCCTCCGATGCTGCGGCACAAGAGTGGTCAACTGAAAACTACAATTCCCAGCATGCCTTTTGGCGAGGGAGCAGGAACCGGAAATGTAGGAGGAGGCGGGGCCTATTGTGCGCGGCTGCGGCCACCGCGGACGCTGCGTGAGGTGACGGAATCAGGTACTGCCGGGATTTTTTCGGGGGGTGGGTCGCGGCTGGGCCGTTGCTTTGTTTGCGGGATGGAAAGACTTCAAAGAATCAACGTTTTAACAGTAATTTATTCTCGGGCGCCGCCTTCCCCCGCACTCGCAGCTTGCGGGCCACTTATCACCCACAAGTAGGGTGCTCTCGAGCCTGTAGTCTGGGTGTCCTAGTCCTGAGGGGGCTGAGAAACCTGCAGACAGAGACCGGACCATCGCTCCAGAGTTATGATTATTAGTTGGGACCTGGGTTAGAAACCTTCTAAGGTATCTGCCCACTCAAAGATGGGAACAGATGAACGATTATAGGTTCAGCAAGTGTTTACTGCCTGCTACGTACCATTCCCTCTCTTAGAAGTAGTGAACAAAGCTAATAGAAGCTTGCTTGCATATAGAAATGGGGAAGTTCAGACACACACACGTATGTTAGGAGTGAAAATCTGAATAAAGTGAGGGAGATAGTTAATTACCAGGGGAAGAGCATTGGAAATAGGAAAAACAGCAATTGCAAAGGTCCTGAGGTGGGAATAACCTTGTCATGTTTGAGGAACAACTAATAGAACAGAGGGAGAAATAGTTTGCAATATTGGCTTCTGTGTTACTTCCTCTGGATTCATGCTCTCTGTACTAATCTCCCACACCGAGTAAGACTCTCTTGTGTAACCAGTAAGATATTGAGGAAATGACAAGGCCCTTACAAGGTTAGGTCATTGTGGCTTTTGCCTTACTGCTCTTAGATCACCTGCTTTGGAAAAAGCCAGCCACTGTGTCATGAGGTCACTCAACCCAATGGAGAGATCCATGTAAGGAGGAACTCAGAGGACCTGCCAAGTGATTAACCCACATGACTATACCTTCCTGGAATCAAATTCTCCAGGCCCAGCCAGTTTCCCACCAATAGGTCTCTCCTGCATTCCTGACCTACAGAAAATGTGGGATAGTATTTAATGTTGTTTTAAGCTCTAAATTTTAGAGTGATTTGTTTCAAAATAATAAGTAACTTATACATACAAAAAAAGGCAATATGGTGTGCAACGAAAAGTGTTTAGAAGGAAATCTATAGTTTCCCAGTGCTTATATTTAAATAAAAGAGAAATTGGAAATAGGTGATCTTAGTGTTTAATTTTTCAAGTTTCTTAAAGTAAAACCTAAGAAAACAAAAATTAAACACTAAGAAAACAAAGGAAAGAAAATAATCAATAGGAAGTAGGTAACAATAGAGAAATACAGTATAATCAACTCCTTCTTGGGGACAATTATTAAAATTGATAAGCCTCTGGAAAGAGGGGCATACAAAATACAAATAGTAAGATTAAACTCAGAGGTACCACTTGAGATCCTACAGACATTAAAAGGATGATATTTGCAATCTCTATAAATTAGAGAACTTAGATAAATGGAGAAATTCAATGTCAGGTATAGGTGCCAGAGCAACTTGATTAGAAATGGACATCTTTCTACAAATCATGCTAGAGTCATTTCTTATCCATATAGAAAAAAACAATCTTAACATTTCTTTCCATCTTACACAAAAATGAATCTGAGATGAACTGTAGACTTAAATGTAGAAGATAAAGTTATAAAACCTCTAAAAGGGAACATAAAGTATTTTTGTGAATTTAGGTAGGCAAAGATTTCTTAAAAAACACAGAAGGGGGGCCTCTCTAGTGGCACAGAGGTTAGTCTCAGCACTATTAGGCTGTTACTAGCCACTGCAGCACGAGTTCGATCCCCAGCTAGGGAGCTGACCCTCATGGTGCAGCAGACCTCTCCTGTCTCACCTGATGCTCCCCTCAGCAATGTATCTCAGTAGATCCAACTGTCCTGCTCCCCATTCTGTCTCTGTTGAATCCTCTCTCACATACTTCCACTCATCTGGCCTACACCCTAATTCATGTACGAATAAATGATTAAAAATAAATCTTTTTAAAAAAAAGATACAGAGGCATTATAAAGAAAAATTGATAAATTTGATTGAATCTTTAATTTATGGACATCATAAGTTAATGTTAAGAAAGATTAGGCAAGCTGCAGTTGGGAGAAAATATTCTCAATATACATATCTGAAAAGAATAACATTCAGGAGCCCTCCCTGGTGGCGCAGCGGGTTAAAGCACAGCACTGAGAGCCTTAGGCCACTTCTACATGAGTTCGATTCCCACCTGCCCTGGAGGAGATCCATATGGCGTGGCAGACCTCTCCTGACCCGCATGCTGCTCCCCTCAGCAGTGT